ACATCCAGGCACTTAAACAAACGAAGCTGTGAACTGCTGGTGCGAGTGAATGATTCCTTTTCTTCATTTGATCACTGGTGCATTAATGACAGTGATAATGAATCGTCATTGCTCATATGCAGTAGCACTTACCAATATTGTTCACGCTGTTTTCACAACCGTGAAAAGGAACAGTTCAGCACTTTTCGCTCCATCGAATGCTTAAAAAAGAAAAGAGCTGCGTAAAGGATAAGTAAACAAATGGTTTGCTCAAATATGAATTATGAACGAATAAGTGTAAATGATCTGATTCGATGAATATTTTTGTACGTCTAATATTTTGAACTTTTAATGCGTACGTCCAATATGATATAAATCATCTCAACATTTTTTGTGATACTCGCAGATTCATAGCGGCATGTGACAAACCGATGGCATGTTTTGAGGTCTGCAATTGAAAGAGATAAATAGGAACCAGAGCAGTGAAACGTTGAAAGTGGTGAAGAGGAACCAGGGCATTGAACGTTAAGTGCACTTTTTAACTGTGTCCACAAATACTGCTGAACTTGAAGGATCTTTTTCGTGTCACTCAAATCTTCTCAACCACATATCTGTGTGTTGAAGTACTGAATTTATTTAAAACAATGGATCCAGTCTCTAATGATTAAGTGCAATTCAGTCTCAACATTTCATATTATTTGCTTGAAAAGATGCATTCTTGAAACGTTTTTCAACGGCGTTTGCTGCTATTTAATCACGGTGCCTTCATCGCAGTCATTTCATGTCTTATATTCTTTCGCAGTAGCAGCCAGTACACTTTGGTGATTCATATAGCGATAAAATCCATACGACTATTCGTATAATCACCCATCTTTGTCGTTCGCTGTTATAGGAAAGTAGGAGGAAATCAATTTCACCATTCGTTTGTTTTCTTTTTGCTGAAGGTCACTCACAGTTACCTTTTTTGTGTGCATTTTCGGAGTTTTTGAGAGCGCATCAGCCAGCTCTTTTCATCGGTTTCGTTTCGCAAATTCGATATTATAGCAGCCCTCGAATGTTCAGTGCAACCATTCCGTTTCTCTGCATTTATCCTTTCTGTAATACCACAATTTTTTGTGTCCATTGATCAATATCTAAGCTTGTGGTATAATATTTTCGAGAATTCCTGGCTTGTGTTGTTGAACTCTGTTAGTATTTCATGTGGATATTATTTCGATTGTGTTTAATAATCATTTAAATTGCTAGGCTAATTGCTGTGAATGATTTGAGCGAATCCATTCCTCCAACCGTTCCAAGTTTCTGTGCCTTCACAATACACTTTTTTCATTTTGGGAAGAAGAAATGCTTTTTTACAGTAGTTCACAATTTCCTGATGCTTGCGGACATAAATGCAGTACACCTGTTGACCATGTTCCAGTTGAGTATGTATTTCGTGATACGTTAATATTTTCGTTATGGACTCTGTGAAAACAAGCTCCACGGCATCCTCTGACAATCAATTAATGAACATTGTATATTTGATTGCCTACGCCCTGATTGAGAATCTCCAGATGCAAATTCAATGCAGCATATTGTTGTTCCTCTCTGTCCTTCTCCCAGTTAGAACGCAGATGCAGAACTGAGTATATCTTATTGGAATGAAAGTAACGATTCGAAAAAAAACGCAATGCATTATAGAGGCCCACCTACGTTCAACTGTTACTCAAAAAAAGATGAAATGTCCAGACAGAATCAATATCCTGCATCTGCTAACATCTTTGTGGTAATTGCTATTTCCATCAAGGCTTTATCTCGCGCTGATGAGAATATGTGCATAAGAATAATAGCTCTAATTTCTTCGCATTTTCAAGCAGCGCCGATAAACGTTGTGGAAGATATTTTTTCTTCATTGTTCAGTGACATTCGTTTCATGCATTTACTGTAGCTTGCTTACTTCTCAATTGTTTGAGAAAACGTTGAGCCAGCCTGTTCATCGATTTTTGAGCGTTGAAATAAAAGCACATGCATGTCGCAAAATGAGATTCTCTTCTTTTATCTGAGCCTAGAGCCTAGGCAATAGCGTGGTAACGTTCTTCTGGTCTATAGCTCAGCAAATTGTTTCATTTCTTTTATTGATGTGCGTCCTATTCAGTGTGACTTATTTTTGAATTACTTCTGCCGATTAATCCGATCCATTCGAGAACAGTCCGTTGGTTGATCAAAATTTTTCCCGAGACTGATTCTCAATCTTGTGTAGTTCTTTGAATCATCTTTTGACAGTTCTTCTTGAGATTGTGATACAAATGTGTCTTTTAGTTCCTACATCAGTGGTTCTAGCGCTCAGGAGCTTTGTTACCCCCTTCGACGGTCTGGTAGGACGTTATTATCCCTCTCTCCACTAGGAGAACTTATGATTTCGACGAATGCAATCTCGGAAGACGGTAACAGCAACATGCCTAAGGATCTATTTCATAAATATAAAAACAATAATTTTCAATATAAAATCCCATAACGCATCCACCACAGCGTAACAATCAATTTTCACAAACCAGAGAGCTAAGATACAATTAAGCAATTACTCCGGTGATTAAAAAAAGTTACCAAAACTTTCCAGTGCAATGGAATAATAGTAATGGATAAATTAAAAAATGTATGCTCTTCTGGCAGCATACCGACGTTCTTTTCGGTTGCACCAAAGGATTCAGTCAATTTCTACCGCTCATGAGAGACAATGTCAGCCAACATATTGAATCAACTTGGGACTTTTGTCAGACCTAACGAGCTAAAGTTACTCAGAAAATAAGATAAAGAAGTGTGTTACCATGAGCGAACTGCGTTGAAATATCCAAGTGAAAAAAACACTATCAAAATTGCGTTCCATCACAACAACTGAACGAAATATTAGTTTGCTGAGCCTTTCGATTACCTCCTAACATCCCAAAATTACCCCCAGGGTAATTCACCTCGTTACGAGAACCGCTGGTCTAGATAATCTATTGGATGACATCATTGTGAATTGTTCATTACCCAGTACAGTATCCTTCCTATCTTCATTGATCGCTCCCGTGATAATCATTTGTTGCTGCTTTCTCCGAGCAATAATTCATGATCATTTGCCAGAAATCAAGCCTCTAAGACACAACTGAGTAGTTAATCTGGTGCAGACGCAGTTGTCGAACCGTGTAAGCTCTGACCAAGCAGATGCGTTTGTGCATTTGAAAGATCAACAAATTTCTCAGTTATCTTTTTGCTTCACCGTTTTCTCAGAATCATCGTGAAAATTTCAGTAAGCGTAGAGAAAAATTCGAGTTTTCAAATGACAAGACTGTCTCCACCGAACGGTTATGATAGAGCTGTTGTCTTTCATGTTCCAAAATCGGAATAAATCAGCCAACTGAATGAGTAACTTAGATTCATTCAAAGTTGCTAAAAGCTACGTGTGCTCAATTTAATCATTCTGTAAGAAACGCATCAGTGGTTTACAATATACTCTTTTGAACGACAATGTCAATCTTTGAGAATTTTCAGTCTTCATTTTCGATGTTTCGATGGCTGCGGCCAAACGTGTTTGCATTTCAATAAATTGTTACGAGGCAGGTCGTGCTTAGGGTTTGCAAAATCCCGACGATTTTTCAATCCCGGGATCGACTTTTGATCCCGGGGTAATCCCGTGATCGAACAATTATTGAAATAGCGATGCGGGGCATGTTTAAACACATTTTTTCGAACCAGTTTGTCCATTATTAATCAGAAAGGATCTAATTCAACAAATTATGGAACAAATCCAAGGAACTAAGTATTCAAATTCAAATTAATATTTCATATATTGATGCCAACGATCATGCCGCAAGGGCTTACTGCATATTCTATGCTAAGGCATTTTGTCATCTCGGGTCTATGCTAATAACAGTACACTTACATGTGAATATGAAATTCTTGATTCTCAAACACTTATATGCAATGCTTCAAGTCCATTTTCTCTCAGTATTAACGCCAGCTGAATTCTGCCGTTTCGAAAATTTCGTCTATTTCCTTAGCTGAACATCAATGATAGAGGGCAAACAGCAAAGATAACTGTATGTAAATTAGATGGGATTGATTAAGGCTCGCTTCAAGATGGGCATACTATCAAAATTCACATAAATTGACCTATTTTATGAAATCCCGAAATCCCGGGATCGGGATCAGAACTGTAAGCCCGGGATCCCGTGCAAACCCTAGTCGTGCTCTTTTGCGAGTGTGATAAGTTTATTAGAGTCTTACGGCTGTTGAGGTAGTGTGGAATTTGGAAATAAACCTCAATCCAATGCACCTGCTCTAAATGTAATAGCTTGTATCTTTGTTCCTAATTCTGAAGCCGCACTGTCATGAGAATCACACTATGAGTGATTATCTTTCATTTTTTGAGAACTTTGATACTATTGCTGCATAAGGTCCGTGGAAAACGGATTTTTCGAACCCATTCGGCTGCTCAAAGCACTTCTGATTTCACTGATGGGCGAGCATAATCTGCTACCAACTAAATCGTCCGTCATAATAATGAAAAGTATGGTTGTGTAAACTTCTACGGATGCTTGTTATGAAGGACGTGAAGAGTGCATCACCACTGGTGTCTCAACAGTTTAGACTTGTTTATGACTGAAGGCTGTTTTAATGAAATTCATTGCGTACATGTCCATCATAAATTTTTGTTTTGCCGATTCATGGTTCTAGGTGAATTTTGAATTTTTCGCTCTAGATTGTCATACAGTAATGATGTATCTTGGACTGGAATGTGTTACCAGTATCGGCCTCTAATCCATTCCATGTTTGAGGGTCTCGAGGAAAATGTTAACTATTACCATCCCAGTTCTTAATTAAACTCTCAGTGAGGCTCCATGACGGTATCGCCCAATGTGGACTTTGTTTCTTCTTTGCAATAATCTCTATGCGAGATGTCGCTGGTTGTACGATATAATTATTCTCTTTGTAAAGCGGATAGCGTCCTGATTCCATATGGTCTTAGAGAACGTATGATTATGATACTTTTTTTCAGAGGGTTTATGTCAGAGGACCGTCGAACGCAGGAGTCGTCCCGGGCAGGTTAGTGCAAGTATTTCATTTTTCACTACATGCATCCCATTTAAAATTGCTTGACTGTTTAAACATTGCACTTGTTATCACATTATGGTACGTCTAAGAGTTGGATGCGAAACCTACTGAATGTTTACAGCATGTTTAAATCCGGTTATATTTGCAGTTTGTTCGTGTACATGTTCGTATCATATGTTATTGTTAGTGCCTCCTCATGAGTTCTTGTCTATTCATCAAGTTTCATGAGTTTGTCTTTGTAAAGTTGACAACTTTCTCCTTGAATCCTCTTGCAGTATTAGATGAAATTTTGAAAGACTGCCCCATGCATGAGTGTGTCATTGAGTTGATCCAGTTTTCCAAGTAATGCAAATATTCAGCAGCACATGCTCCAGTATGGTCCGTGACTCGTCGTCAACGCACCGAAGTTTCGCCACTTCGTGATGCTGAAACTGGAACGCAGTCCTATAGATCACGGACCATGACCACCACGGAACGTGTACAAGTAGTCCAGACACCAGTGGAGGCTGACGGAACAGACTTCTCAGTTGAGGTTCTATCCTCAACAGGTGAGAGATAAGCACGTTGCAGCTGGTCGAATTAGATTATGAATAACCTCGTACTGATCGTTTCAGCGAAATTTGAGGCGAATTCAGCTAAAATAATTAGCTTGAAGGAAATGTGTAACAAGATTTAGCTTCATGTGCAATCATAACGCTTTCATGCTTTACCTTCGTTACATTTCCTTATTAACTTCGGTAGTTGTAAAAGCGTTCTCAAAATTGGATACTAAATGTGCCGGGTCGAATGTTTCAGGTCAAAATGAGCGCTGGATAGAATCGACGACAATGAGGCATGAAGCTGGAGGTATCCCAGTAGTTGGAGGTATTACAGCAAGCGGTGTTCCTCTATACTCTGGAATTTGGTACAGTCCAGAGTCAACTGAGACAACCACTATAATAACAACTACAACAACCACTTATCGTGTTTTTGAAGTGGAAAGTGATGAGTCGGCCGGTGAGGAGAACGGCAAAGAAAGCGAACTCACAATTAACTTTCCGCTCGAATGCGAAAGTTCCAAACATGCGGACATAGAAGGTGAGGTACCCGATGGGGAACCATTTTACGTGGTTATTGGTAAGAAGGATACCCTCTCGCCAGTTACGACGCCACCCGAGCACGTCGTGAAAACAGTCGACATCAATGTGATACCAACCGAGCCAACCGCACATGACACGCAAACAGTGAAGACAGCTGATGTTGACGGTAATAGATATCCACAAATGCTCGAAATCAGCGATCATGATGGTAAGGTTTCGAGGAAATATCCTTTATTCGTTATTGGAATAGTATGATTCGTTGAACATGACATAGCACGTCAACATAACGCAACTCGTCAACATATCATTAGCAGAGCTGTTGTGAACAAAATGAGACAGACTGGATTAATCGAATCTCTCCTGAAATGCCTCTCTTTCAATCAGCCTGGACAGTTTGTGTTGTCGTGAAGGTGAAATAATGATTCACTAAACAGTTCTTAGAGAAATGATGGATTCACGTCACAGCGATCATTTTAAATTAAATTACTTAGAAAACGAATATATTCAAAAAAGTCCTAAATAAATAGATAAATGCTCACCTCATTGGTGCGAACAAAATAAAGAATAGTATTACTGCAAAACACATTGGCATCACAACATCGTCATCAGTCTTAGGATATTACGTGAGTATAAATCTCGAACTAACCAAACAGCCAGACTGTCAACTAAATTGCTTGGATAGTCGAAGGACGAGGATTAACATGCGACAAGATGGATTGAAATTGGATTACTGTATAAACTAGAGGGGTAAACAATGACGATAATGCCAGTGTTAGCGAAAGAATAATAATAAAGTGATAACAATGACAATAATAGAGCGTAAACTACCAATATTAATGATAATACAGTAAAAAGGATAACAGTTAATACTAGTTAATAGATAACAGTTAATACTAGTAAAAATAATGACAATGATAAAATTATTGTGGTTATTCTAATTATAATAGTTATAATAATTGCAATAACAATAGCGACAATAATAATAAGAATAATGAAAGTAGTGATATTTATTATTATCATTGAATATTATTACTGTTATTAAACATTATATTATAATTGCTATTATTATTATTATTATTCCTGATATTATCATTATTATTAATAGCGATAATAATTAGTGATGTAGCGCCAATTATACTTGTATTAATATTATACTGAGTATTCCTTGCATTAGTAAGGTCAACAGTTACTCATTTATTCGTTTGTTCTTATCAACCAATTCTTTATTCACTCACTCACTAAATAATTGCGACCCATAAGCTGCTGAATTGCTCCGCATATCGATCACTGTCATCTACAATCGAGCAACTCATCAAACTTATCGATTGACAGCACTCGAGCTCTTTAATTCATTCGTTCCATAGCCCTGCACGTATCCCGACATTCAATCATAAATATGGAGAATACCAGCCCTTTGACGCATAAATATGCTTACAGACTAGAACTGTGGAACATTTGCTATGATATCATAAGAGTAACAAAAAATACCTTCAGGATGTGTCGCATCAACAAGCAAAGCTTACGAGATACATGGCGAACCTATTGAGAGATACGTCAACGTGTACCATAACGGACGTTCGGATGGATTGAATGAACACGATGAACTGCAAATAACAGATGAAATTTCAACGATGGTCGCAAAACTTTCGGGATCATTCAAAAGAGCTGCAGTTCATGGCGAACACACAATATATTTACCTGTTAAAGGACGTAAAGCGCACGATCACCAAATGCAATACGCCCATGATCCATCAAGTGGGAGTAAGCCGTCAAGGACACAAAGAGAACTGAAATCAAAATACACTGTTAAATTCTCAGATCCTTTCAGAATTGAAGCAGATGTTGACGAATGGACGGCATCAACAAGCAAAGTACCAGAAATCCCCGAAGAAGATCTACGAAAACACGTTAATGTATATCACAGCGGTTTATCAGACCGGGTATCATTATCACCGAAAAGAACAAAGAGGAGGGAAAAGGGAACAAGACCCAAAATTGAAAGAACACTACCGCACCAACAGGTTATCTGTACCGAGGAAACCGATCTTGAAGAAACATACCAAATTCAAAGGTTGCCAGATCAACAGGTTGATGAAATATTCCCGTGTGTACCAGAGCAGCGTATCGAAATACGGAGGAGCGAGGCTTCAGCCGGATGGCTGCAGCACAGTGGGACGAGGGAACCAACAAAACCACAGGATGGGCAAGAAGAGTACACACATCGATCTAGTCAGCAGAAGCCTGAGCAATCAGTCTACATGAATATTGAATTGAGGAGGCCTCCGAGAAAGGGGGCCACCACAATTCAAATCGTCGACGAAAAAAAACAGTGCAAAACAAGGGACCCATACCAAGACGTGGAAAATGTCATAGATTTGGACGAAATTATACACGAGGCAGCAGAATCTATTGGAATATCATTCATACGTCCCAAAATGCAACCTGGACAGACGCGAATCACACAACTTGACTATCCAACATCGGAGCCATATGAAGGACCATTTGCGATAACG